TTGGGAAGGTGTTGCAGGAGGATGGGTCAAGTCTGGGATGGCGCTGGGAGTGCGAGCCCCTCCAAGAGGAAATCTGGGCTGGGGCCAGGCAGGGCTCACCCTCAGGGTCCAGCAGACGTGCCAGCCCCAGGTGCTGCTCAGCCGTGCGGAAGGCTCTCTGCAGGTTGTAGTTGGCGTTGGACTTGGTGAGTTTGTTGAAGTCCACGAGGTCGGGCCTGGGCAGGGCACAGAGCAGGCAGGCAGCAGGCAGGCTCCAAAGCCGGTGAGCAAACAGGTGAAAAGACATCCTTGTCTGAGTCCCACCCAGGGTGAGGGAGGGAGGAGCACAACCCAGCCAAGGAGAAAGCTGTGTGCGCTGGTGCGTGTCTGTGCAGCATTTCACTGCGTGAGGGCACATGTACGTGTGACTTCACGACACACACACATCTACTCGGGTGTGTTTCTGTACAGTATTACGTAGTGCTTAGAAGTATGAGGTCTGGAGACAGGATTCCTGGCTCAAACCCCAGCTCAGCCACTTCCTGGCAGTCAGTCTGGGTGAGCTCTTTGTGCCTCAGTTTCCTCATCTGTAAAATGGGGGATAATAATAGCCTCTGCCTCACAGGGGCACTGAGTATGAAAAGACTTATTGGAAAGCACTTAGAACAATGCCGGTACACTTAGTAAATGTTCCCATTGTTAGCACAACCCGGGTTACAGCTTGTGTGTTTGTGGGTGTGTAGGTGGTGCTGGGTCTCCCCGTACACGTATGAGCGTGTATGTGTGGGTTCTGGCTTCTGTCACAGCAGAACAAGTCCCTCCCAGTCTCTGGGCCTCAGTTTCCCCAATCTGTCACATGGACGAGGGTGATGTGGGGATAATTTGCCTGGGTGCCCACCCCTCAGCCAGCTCAGTCCCAGGCCCTGAAGTATGAGCATGTGGGTGTGAAGGGAGCCAGGAGAGGGTCTGGGGGCGCACAGTGAGGAAGGAGTTTCTGGTGCACACACAGAAGCGGATCCAAGGGGAGTGAGCTGCCCACCGTGGGGGCGTCTAAGCATCAGGCCCAGGTACAAGCTGTATATGTGCATGAGTATATGCATGTTTCCATGTGTGCACACAGTATGCAGCCTGGACAGGGGTCTGTGTGTGTGTGCCTGTGTGTAAGAGCATGAATGTGAACGGAAACATGTATGTGTGCAGAGAGGTGAAGGGGGGGGTCCTGTGTCTACACGTGTTTATATACATCCCTGTACAAGTGTGTGCCCAAGGGATGTGGGGTTGGGGGTAGGGCCAGGCTGGGCTGCCCCAGACCAGGTGGTACCTGTGCCGGTGAATGAGGGCATTGAAGGCCAAACCGTCCCGCCAGCTGGTGGTAAAATTCTGGATGTTTACCTCAGGGTACCTGGCAGTGTGGAAGGGAGAGACAGAAGCAGAGATGGAGAGTCAGGAGGAAAGAGGGAGGGAGGGAGAGAGAGACAGACAGACAGAGATGGATCGATGGATGGATGGATATACATGATATATAGATGGATGATGAGAGAGAGAGAGAGGGAGAAAGAAAGATAGCTAGGTAGATAGATAGGTAGATAGATTGAGTGGACCAGGGAAATGAACAGAGAGAGAGATTGAGAGAGATTGAGAGAGATAGACAGGAGAGGAGCAAACAAGAGAGAGAAACAGAGGGAAGACAAAAAGAAGAAGGAAGGAAAGGACAGAGAGACAGCAAGATGCAGATAGAGATGGGGAAAGAAAGGAGTGGGGAGAGATAGGAGGGAAAGAGAAGGAGGAGGGAGAGAGAGGAACAAGGAAGAGCAGACACAGAGGTAAAGACAGACACATGAAAGAACTAAGAGCATCTCAAGACAGCCCCAGGAGGACGAGAGTCCTCAGAAGCCCAGTCTCCATCCACACTTGCCCCTCCCTCCTTCTTCCAAGGGCTTTGAGTCTCCAGAGGGCACTTGTGTCTCATGCCAGGCCCCTCCCCGCAGGACAGAGAGTTGCAGGACGAGGGGACATACCTAGTGGGGTCTGTGCACCCCATTTCTCGACTCCACTGAAGGTACCAAGACCTGAACTTCCCACCCGAGCTGCCAGAGCCCTGGTGTGTGTCCCCCTAGGCTGAGGGGTCAGGAAAGAGCTCAGGATAGGGCTGGGGGGTTCCACACAGGTGCACATGAGGCCTCTGTGGTGCAGGATGAGATGGGGGAGGGAAGGGGAGCTCATCACCTTAGGCATTGCTTTCTGAGAAGTCCAAGTTCTAAATTTGAACCTGACCTTCTAGAGGTTTAGTCATCAAGGTTGGAGGAGTTTGTTACCAGTTTATTAACTTCAGATGTAATTTTGACACTAAGGACTTGGGCTGCCCCTTGTACTCCTGTCCCAGAAGGAAGCCCAGAGGTCAGGGCCTGGCCTTCCTAGGGACTAGGGAGTTTGGGGGGCTCACCCAGCTGTCTTCATCTGACACCACAAGAGCAGTGCGTCCTTGGCTGAGCGAGTCTCTCTGTTGTCCTCAGTCTCAATTTTGATGACTTGAATCTGTGAGGATACAAAACATGGCTACTGGGACCTGGAGGGCTTGAGGCTGCGCAACAGCCCACTCCAACCGAGGGATGGCAGAGATGAGAGATGCAGCTTTAGGCCTGGGGGGTGGAGGCACCACTTTGTCCCCCTCCCCTTCCCCTACAGCATGTCCTTTCCCACTCCTGAGAGTCTTCCCTACCCAGCTCCCTCTTCACCTCCCTATGGCCCTACCCTGGTCCAGCTCCAGTCTCTTCCTCAAGCTCCTGGCCCCTAATTTTGGTGACCACCTCAAATCCAGAAGGATATTTCTATGTCTGATTATGCCCTTCCTCTTGATAAAACTCTCTAATTTCTCCCTATCTCAGACAGAATAAAATCCAACTGCTAATCACAGATCACCTCAGCCCTGCCAACCCTTTTGACCTCATCTCCTCTCTCTCTCCCCTTTGCCTCCTGTTCTCTAGCCTTACTGGTCTTTCTGTACCTGTAACATGCCAAGCTCACTCCTACCTCAGGGCCTTTGCATTTGCTGTGCCCCCTGCCTGGAATGCTTTCTCCTTTCATCTTCACGTCATTCAGCCATCAGCTTCTCTGGTCACTAAGGCTAAAATCTCAACACCATCAATGGGATATTTTACATCCCTTTTACTGCTTTATCATAATCTATTCTCTTTTGTAAAGTTATTTCCACTTCTCTGCCTCGAATTGTCCTTTTCCCATACCTTTCCTGTTTGCACATTGATGTGTTTATTATCTGTCTACCCTCTCCACCACGTCTTGTTCCAAAAATACAGAAAATGTGTCTATTTTGTTTCTGAACTGAAGCAAGATTGCCTGCAGTTGAATTCCAGCCCCAGTACACAGCTGTGTGACCTTAAGCATATTACTTCACCTCTCTGGGCTTCAGTTTTCTCATTGGTAAAGTGGGATAATAAATAGTACCTAATTTATGAGGGGTTTGTGCATATTAAACACCAAGTGCTTAGAACAGATGAAAAAATAAATGATCATATATTATCACCACCATCACTATGATGAGTTAGCGAGTTTTATCAAGAGGAGGGGCATTACATTTTTTTAAAAATCATTTTCACCCCCACCACCTGGAACAGGGTTCCCAGAGCATATTAGGAATATTTTTGGAGTGAATGAATGAATGGGTGAGGGACACCTTCCTACGGCTCCATTGTGGGAGCGGGGCTGGGCTGGGGTCACTTGAGGATCACCTGGAAGCGCAGGATGATGGTCCAGACCAGCCCCAGGGTCAGTCGGTGGTTTCCGTCCACAATGTCATGCGAGCCCACGTTCTCCAAGTGCACGCGCTGCTCCTTCAGGAACTGCAGTGCCTTGTCCACATTTTCCAGGGAGTGGATCCTCATGCGACCACGAGTGGGCCTTGGCTAGGGCGGCAGGGGCATTAGGAGATCCAGAACCTGGCCAAGAGCACCGTGCCCTCTACCCTATCTCTTCCAAAGAAGGCCGCCCACATAACTACGCACCCCCAAATTCCAAGTCCAAGCCCAGGCAATGCCCTTCAGTCGCCTCATCAAATACCCAGGACTCAATCCTTCTAAAGAAGCCCTACCCCATTCGTAGCCAGACCCTTACAGGGCGTATTCAAGTTCCTGGACCCGCCCTTTCAATTTAAGCCCCACCTCCAACCTGATAACCACGCCTTTTACCATGCAGCTCCGCCCCCTGTCTGTAGCCATACTCTCGCCTCTTCCATTGGATCTCTGCTCCAGGCGACTAATGTTTTGCCACTAGTTCCATGGCCATATCCCTCACTTCCTCCTTTTTAGGTCCCAGCCAAGGACCACGCCCATTTCTATCAAGCCCCGCCCCACTCCAGGGCTCTCCCCTTGTTTATAGCTCTGTTCCTTTCAACGGCGTTTACTATTGTATAGCCATGCCCCTCACGATTTCCTGAGCTCCAGACTCTGCTTCTTTAATCGATATCTAGCTCCAACAGAAACCAACCCTTTGCGATGAAGCCCCATCCAAGCTCAGAAATACAACTGCAACCCATACAACAAGCCACACTCATACAAGAGTTCCGTCTGGTCCCGCAGCCTCATCCTTCTGATGACAACCGTACTCTCATCCTTCGTAGACCCACTGCAACCGAGTTCTGCCCGTTTTATAGCCATGCCTCTTGCTACCGCACTACGCAGGGCAGTTCCTTCTGATAAAGCTCCTCCCTTCTCCAATAAGCCCATCCCTTCCAGCGGAGCCCCCCCCCCCCACCAAGCCCGGAGTCCCGCACTGAACGACAACCCTCTCCTTTGAGGGAATCTCGCCTCGGTTCCAAGCCACAATCCGCGGCTCCTCACAACCAAGCCCTGCCCCTGTGCCATAGCCCCGCCCACCCTAATAAGGGGCCTTTTACCCACCTAGCCTTTCCAGGACGTTCCACCCATCCTTTAGCCAGGCCCTGTAGTAGCCCCGCCCGGGACTCCATGGCCGCCCCCTTCCCCCAGCCCTCCTGGCCCTCTCACCAGCTGCTCCCCAGACAGCACTTCCAAGAGCCGCGTGAGCACGAAGCCATCCCTGAGGTCGGCATAGAGGTCCCCAATATGGCAGCCAACGCGGGCGAGGTGCGAGTTCACCCACTTGGTGAAGGTTTTCTTCTGCACAGCCTCCCGCTCATCTGAAGGACAGACCCTAATGAGGCCCAGTCTCCTCCAGGACCTCTCCCTTCCAGCTTCACTCCAGCCCTCCCCTGTCAACCCCCAGCCAAATCCTGCTCAGGCCCAGCTCTCAGCAACTATCAGGTCTTTGTTCAGGCGGCTCTTTCTACCTGGGAAAACCTCTCCGCCCCTCCTCCCCCGCCTCCTGCCCTCCCCTCCACTGCCCACCTGGAGATGGCCTCCTGGTCCCTTAAAGTTTTCCTGGGATATTACTTCCCCAGGAAGGCTTATCTGTTTCTTACCCGAATCGGCTCTGTTCATTCCTTCAATATTTGAGCACCCGCTATGTGCCCCACGCTGTTCTAGGCTCTGAATACAGACAGAGCCCTTCTGTGGCAGAGCTCAGTTTAGTGGGGACATACACTAGGGAGCCATAGAGGGTTAAGAGGAAGAAGGACAGGATAAGAGTTGGGTTTCAGGGACATCTCTGGCTGCTGTGGGAAGGGTACCTCAGAGAGGGCAAGAATGGCAGCCCGGAGCCCAGGGAGGAGATGAGGGAAAGGACCCCAGAGAGACAGAGAATGAAGTTGGACGAGGGCAGAAGCCGAGGGAATGGGAGAAGGGGGCATACTGTAGAGTTATTAAGAGCTGGCCACTGAATGTCTGTGGGGAATGAAAAGGAATGAATATGCCAGAATGAACATTCCTTGAGGGCAGGAACCATGTCTCCCTTCTCTAGTAGCCAGACAGCCAGGTTTCCAACATCCCTGGAGCAAGGAGTAAGCTTGGGACTACCAACAGGAGGGTAGTGGGAGGATGTGCGAGACTTCTGCCTCGCTTGCTTACAAAGAAGTTGTTTGGGATCTGTCTTACTGTCTTTTTTTTTAATATATAAGTTTTACTATAAGCAGTAATTCACACACTATAAAATTCAGCCTTCTAAAGTGTAAATTCAGTGGTTTTTAGCATAGTCACAGAGTTGTGCAACCATCACCACTATCGAATATCAGAAGATTTTTACCACGCCAAGAAGAAACCCTGTACCCACTTAGCAGCCACTCCCCACTCCCCCTTCACCTAACCCTCAGCGATCATTCATCTATTTTCTGTCTCCATGGATTCACCTATTCTGGACACTTTACATAAATGAAATCATGCAGTATATGGCCTTTTATGTCTTGACTTCCTTCTCTCAGCATAATATTTTCAAGGTTCATTCATGTTGTGCCATGTATCAGTATTTTATTCCTTTTTACAGCCAAATAGCATCTCATTGGGTAGATATACTACATTTTACTTATCTAACCATCAGCTGATGGACATTTGGGTTATTTCTAGAAAACTTTCTGGTGATTATGAGCAATGCTGCTATGAACAATCAGGTATAAGTTTTTGTGTGGACACATGTTTTCAGTTATCGTGAGTATAAACCTGGGAGTAAAATGGCTGGGTCAACTGGTAACTCTATGTTTAATCTTTTGAGGAACTTCCAGACTGTTTTCCAAAGTGGCTGAACCATTTTACATTCCCACCAGCAATGTACAAGGGTTCCAATTTCCCCACATCCTCACCACCACTTGTCATTTTCCTTTCTTTTTTTTTTTTTTAAACTTTATTATGGTCATCCCAGCGGGTATGAAGTGCCATCTCAATGTGGTTTTGATTTGCATTTCCCCGATGATTAACAATTTGAGCATCTTTCACATGCTTATTGGCCATACGTATTACTTCTTTGCTGAAATATCTATGCAAATCCTTTGCCCATTTTTTAAACTAGGTTATTTGTCTTGTTATCATCTGCACTATCTTAGTATCTTTCTGTGAATCTATAATTATTTCATAATTTAAAGTTTTACTAAAAAAGGAAACTGTTGTCTGGCCTTCCTCCCTCTTCCCCCAACTTCCACAGCTTGAAAACCAAGGTCCACAGAGCACAGGATGGGAGAAGGAACCTGGAATCCACACTCACTGCTCAGAGCAGAGCCTCTTTGCCAATGAGGCTGCTCATGTTGGGACCATCCAGGAGGAAGAAACAAGCCTCTAGTCCTTTAAGCCACTGTTGGGTCTCTTTGTTACAGCAGCTTAGCCTGTACAGATATTGTTCACGTTTCATAACTAAATGATCCAGCAGTCCATATTTTATAACTAAATATTTAGCAGTCATACTTTTAAGTTCCCTATGAGTGCAGAAATTATGATTTGTATTACCAGTTTATTCCCAATTTTAACCATCTGAAACCTCACAATAACTTTTCTTCCTAAAGTTCACTTTTTATAACATTTCCAAATATTACATTTGATTCTGGCAGTAGAGAATACACGTAACTAGAAAACTTGCAGTGAAGTGACCTGTATTTCTTTTTCGGGGGTGTGTGTGTGTTTGTTTGTTTGTTTTGGTGAGGGAAGGTAATTAGGTTTACTTATTTATTTATTTTTGGAGGAAGTACTGGGGAATGAACCCAGGACCTGGACCTCCTGTATGCTAAACATGCACTCCACTTGAGCTATACCCTCCCCCCAACTTTTTTTATTTTTTATATTTCTTTGTGCTTCAAGTTGGATCTTTTTTTTTTTTTGGAAGAGTGACATTTATTTGTTTAGGTTTTTTCTCAAGGGGGGAGGTAATTAGGCTTATTTATTTCTTTATTTTGAGAGGAGGTACCAGGGATTGAACCCAGGACCTTGTTCATACTAAGCATGTGCTCTACCACTTGAGTTATACCCGTCCCCGCAAAGTTGGATCTTGAACGTTTGCCTTTAATTTGAAAGTGAATATACAGAAACAAGCAGTAAATCCAAATGGCATATCTCGTTTGTTTAAATGTGGGGTTTGTGCTGTTTGGATAGGATGATCATTGATCACACATGAGGAATCGATGACAGAAAAGACGCTGAATTGGGTATTTGGTGATTCTGCCTTCCCACAACCGATGCCCATAGCAGATTGTGGCCACTGCAGAGGCCTGACTGGAACTTTGGCACATCCCCAGTGTGGTGCAGAATGAGGACAACTGGATTCAGTCCTGTCTCTACTGATGGCCACTGTGTGACTTTGAGAGGCCATCCCTCCTCTTTGGGCCTCTCTTTTCCCATTTCCAAAATGAGAGGTTTGGGGGAAGGGTATAGCTCAGTGGTAGAGCACATGCTTAGCATGGACAAGGCCCTAGGTTCAATTCCCAGTACCTCCATTAAAAATAAAGAAAGAAATTAACATAATTGGCCACTCCTCCCCCCCAAAAAAGAAAAAAAAATCAGTAAGAGGTTTGTCAGTGGGTTCTGGGGTACCCTGGATGTTTGGCAATTCATACTTGGAAGACAAGGATCCATGAGAATATTTTTAATTTTTAGTTTCATTCCAATGGTACCCAAGGAAAATTAATAGAAACACATCCTGGACCATCTGGATGGTGACTTCATAGAGGGGGCTATGCTGTGAGCATTCAGGTTTTGTGATTCATTAACACAGAGCTGGGGTCCAGAACTGAAATGCCCACAGGGGCCAGACAACTAGGCCTTCCTGAAGTGGGGCAGTGGCCACACGGCCCCGGAGAACAGAGCCTCCCAGGAACAAAGGCTCTGTGTTGCCATAATATATTATAGTCCACGAGGAGCCAAAAATCTGGAGACAAAATCTCCCTATTTTTAAATGTTGGCAACTGATTTACGTTTTTATAAAACACAGTGGGGCTGAAACCCAATATGTCCCAGAGTGCCACTTCTGACCTAAGATGACACTGAATGTTTACTGCGTTGGTGAGAGTGTTTGGCTGCCTTGCTGGGTATCTTTTGTCTGCCCCTCCGGTGCCGCCTCCACTCTTCTGCACCTGCTCTGGGCCCAGGGAAGTTGTCTGGTGTAGACTATGTGAATGGGCTCCCTGGCCCATACAGGCCTCAGACTGTCGGTTGGGTTTGGCTAGCCAGAGATGAGAGGAGAAAGAAGGGGCTGAGGAATTTATTCCCTCCCTGCTTGACCAGCTTCTGCCAGGGCCTGGTGTCTCTCTCTACTCCGTGCTCCTCCCTCTCCCTTCCCTGCCTGAGGCCCTAGAGGTCTCCATCACCCTTGTAAATTCTCACAACCCTGCCTACACCTTTGTAAATCGTCCCTTCATTAAACTCACCTTAATTTTACCCCTTTGAGGGAGCTATCCACTTCTTCCTGGCACTCAAGTTGGTCCACAAACCTTTAAGTTGTCAAGACTCCAAACCAAAAGATCATGGTCCTACCTCTGCCATTGTGCTCATATTGAGTTATTTTAGCATTTATATTTTCTTTTCCACTATGGTAGTCATCAGTCACAAGTGAAATGCTTTTCCTTAGAATAAAGTTTTAATTTTTTCATATCTTGAGATTTTTTTTCATATCTAATACATTGAGATTTTCATGGAGCAGGGAATAACTACTCCCTTCTCTACTACTGGTTAAGAAGGAAGCATAGAGTGAGACTTCATATGTAAATGATATGTTTGGCTATTAGTCTGGGAAAAGTTAGGAAGCCAGACCAAGTATTATTAGAAATGTGGGGCCATCATAACCCTCATGTCTGCCAGTGGGAGTTCTGGACTAGGGCAGCCATTCAGAAGGTGATCTGAGTCAAATTAAATCAACGTATACCCACCATGACCCAGCAATTCTTTCCCTATGTATCTGTCCCATAAACTTGTCCAAACTGGTTTACAAGGAGCATGTATGATGTTGTTCAATGCAGTGCTATTTGCGGGGAGGGAGCAGGGCAGGCGGGGGGTTGGAGACAGCCTGGTCTCCATCACTGGGAAAGTGGAACATGGTGAATGCACACCACAGACTCCATGCAGCAGATAGCAGCAACAGAGTAGAGGCACACAGAGCCCCAGGGGTGAGTCTTGAGGCTAGAAGGCATAACGCTGAATGAGAAAATAGTGCAAAAAATGCAATAAAGATATAGTAAAATACACATCAATTAGCAATGCCTGCATTCACAAACCCACACATAGGAGGATGCCAGATTCGTGACAGAGTGAACCTGAAGTTCAGTTGGGAAAG